CTGAGTCTGATCTGTATAGTGAGACCTTGTAGACCCTGTACTAAATACATTAAAAGGGGGGGGCAAATAGCCCATGTTATATTGGATAGACAAACCAATATAATCAAAATGGCTGTGTTTCCAAAAGCTGATGCACACATCTAACCCAATCATGCCCAAAACACAATGGCATTTCTCACAGATCCAGAGAAAACCAACCTAAAATTCATACAGAACCAGAAGACACCCAGAACAGCAAAAGCAACCTTGGGTAAAGAGGAGAGAGAGTGAGAGTGAGAGTGAGTGAGTGAGTGAGTGAGTGAGAGAGAGACAGACAGACAGACAGGCAGGCAGAGAGAGACAGAGACAGAGACCGACTGACGGACCGACTGACTGACCTGTATACACTCTCTCTGCACAGACCCTAGGAGACACTAACTGGTTTTCTGTCCTTGATATCAAGGATGCCTTCTTTTTTATTTTCATGGACCCTAGCTCCACGAACTGGGGAGATTACCTCTCCAGGAGAATACCCAAGCAGCCTGTGGCACCAGAAAATGGAGACCACAAACTTCGTACACCTGCAAACAAGTGGACAGCCTCACAGTTCAGAAAACACCAGCCAAGGGGCTAGGGAGATAGCTCAGTAGAATAAGCATTTGCCTGGCAAACACAAAGATCTGAGTTCAATCCCCAGTTCTGCCAAAAAAACCAAAACAGAACAAAAAACACCAGCAAACCTGCTGAGTCAAGTAAGTACACCATTCTAAAGTAAAATTTAAAAAAATTAAAAATAAAGTAAAATCAACCCTATCCTGGCATTACATTCCCTCCTCACGTGTCTCCTGTGTGACTCATTTGCCATGGCTCACTCTTCACAATCCTCACCCTAAATCATAAAATGACCTGTATTAGTTTGTTCTTGACTTTCTTGGGATCCTTTTTGGTGGCTCAAGAATTGCCTCTGGGGGACATACTGAGAGTATTTATACATATAACCCATCTCTTACTAACTTCTACTAACCCCAACCTAGCCAAGGACTCTAGGCCGTGTCTTTCCCCATCTTCCAGCCAATGTACTGCTATGTCCATCCCAGCTTGGCCCTGGGCTACAGGAAAGACAGCCTCCCACTACAAATACTAAGAGAGTGTTACTTTCACAGCCTGAATGATTTTCAGGTCAGCAAAATGACCAGGGTAATGCTGAAATGACCAGGGTAAATAAATGAACGGGGAAGGCTCCTTCCCTCCTCAGATTCCACTGAAATAATCTTTCTCAAATTTCTCCCCAAACCACCCACTTGGGGCCCCAAATCCATTTGCATGTTGTTTCATGGCAAGTTCCAGGCACTGCTCCGTATAAAAAGGACACAAGGGCCGGCCAGATAGATGACAGGACTAAAGGGCCTGTTTAGGCAGGCGCAGGGACCGGGGTTCAATCCATACCTCCCACACCTCCACCTCCACCCCCATCCCCATCCCCTGGGCGCCATGCCAGCCCAGCCTCCGGGGCGCACTGAGACAGGGACTAAGACTGGGCGTGGTGATGCACACCTGTAATCCCAGCTCTTGGGAGGCTGAAAGCAGGAGGATCACTACAAATTGGATCTGTGTTCCAAGATCCTGTAGACACTCGTACTAAATACATAAAAAGAAAAGTGGACACAAGACCAGGGGCAGAGTCAAGGTCTGGGGACATTTAAAGGACTCCATTTGCAGAGCAGGCGAGATAGCTCAGCAAACTAAAGCACCTGCTTAGGAAAGCGCAAGGACCACAGCTGGATCTTCTGCATGTACCACATGCCATACTAGCTCTGGCCCTAGGGCGGGCTAAACCAGCCAGAGTCCAGACATTGTAGTGTACGCCTGCAACCCCAGGGCTGGGGAAGCTGAAAACAGGAGGATTACTATGAGTCCAAGCTGCATAGTGAGACCCTGTAACAACCAAATACATTAGAAAATAAATAAAGGGCTCCATCTATAAACAAATTCTAAAGATAAAACCTTCACTGGACCAGGCCAGCAACCAGGTAACCCAAACCTCATGTTTTAAAAACTTGGTACAAGGGCCCGGAGATGGCTCAGTAGAATAAGCACTTCCCTGGCAAGTGCAAGGGCCTGAGTTCTATCCCCAGTTCTGCCACAAAAAAACAAAAACAAAAACAAAAACAAAACCACTTCATACAGTTCTTACGTAACTGGACACACAAGAATTAGGAATTAGGGTCAGGATATCTCCAAGGAAGACCTCCAATTGTGTTCCTGTATTCCCATGGGAAGACTGCCCATGACGAGGGACTGCTGGTATGCAGTAATGAACTCAACTGAACAAGTATTAGTGGAATACCAGAAAAAATTTTATACATGGAGAAAACACAACTACCAGAGCTACTCCAGACACGTATAGGGGCTCTCAGTCTTTGACTAAGCTATACTGGCAGGGACTTTACTTGGGAAAATGAAAACAATGAGCTCACCCAAGTTGAAAATAATTTGTCTTGAGACTCAGGAACTTTTCCTCCCGTGTGGCACCACTTCTACTCGTGTCTTCCAGCAAATTGGATGAGAACATGAGCCTTTGCTCTTCTAGTCTGTAGATCAACATGGCACCTCATAGCCAATCCCTCCCAGTTCCTTTAGCCGCCAGGACTTTCCCTGACAGGGCCTTTACTAATGCTTCTTATAGCCTATTTTGATGATGCATATTTAATCTCTTAGTAAACTTTTAGTTTCCTCTTATTTAACAGATGCTAAACTACAGATGATGACCTAAGCCATGGACCAAAACCTGCCTTTATATCCAGAGCTCATCAAAGAATCCTTTAAGGAGTATGGCTCATTGAATTTAAGCTTCAGTGGGGCTCAAGCCCGGTAAGAGCTCCACACTCCCCTGCCAACATTCCTATTCATCAGGAAGCAGCTACAGAAGACAGACATTCAATCCTCAGCACCCCTTAAAGATTTCCAGGGACCAGGTATCTTGGGAGAATAATATTGATAGTACAATCAAGGCTGATGGACCTCTCTTCTCCACTCATCTGAAACTGGGCAACACCCCAGGGCCCAACCCTGACCTTTTGACCTAAGTTCACTATTTAGAGGCTGAAAGAAGGGGCTGGGGAGATGGCTCAGTAGAATAAGTGCTTCCCTGGCAAGTGCAAGGGTCTGAGTTCAATCCCCAGTTCTGCCAAAAAAATAAATAAAAATAAAAATAAGAGGCTGAAAGAAGAAGAACAAAGATCACGGTCTTCCCTGGAAAATTTCAGAGTTCCAAACCAGGACAAATGCATGCCAGACCTGCTAGCATGACTACAGTAACCTTTCTTCACTCGGAGCACACTAAAAGTTCATGCACATGGACTGTATCTCATAATTTGATTTTTTTTTTTTCAGAACCAAGGTTTGAACTCAAGCCTTTGTGCTTGCCAGGGAAGCACTTACTCCATTGAGCCATCTCCCTGGCCCCTATAATTTCAATTATGACAGAGTTATGGGAAAGGACCTGCACAGTTGACTGAGCTGACATCTCAGCACCCGTCAATCACATTGTCAATCATGCTCTGGAAGGCCCAATGAGAGGTTCCCTAGACCCAGTGGACCATTTTAAATCTCTAAACCAAAGTGTTCAGTGCTTGCCCCTTTTTCCTTTCTGCCATAAACCTGATCCCTCCAAGGGTACTGTGTCACCTAATTAAACTTTGTTGCTGTTTCCTTACTGTAGCATGCCATGTCCAATTCTTTGTTTACTGAAATCAATAATCTAGGAACCCATCTGGGACCCCATCACCCATGGTAATAAAGACAGTTCCAAAATACTTTAAAAAACATTCAAATGAATAGTTTAAATCAGAGTCCAACTAGCCAAGCCTCACTGTTTATTAACATGCCACTTTTCATGGGCTTCCCCATCTAGAGGATATGGAGTGACAAGATTGTCAACTCTGAATGTCCCATATCTCTAGCTTTTACAGCCACCCTCTGTTGGCCCAGCCCTGTCACCTGTCTAGGATTACCCTCTAAAAAGGGTATCAACTCAGAGAAATCCTGGCTATCTGGTGGGACTCAGGCTCCCCCTTGTGGTATGTTCGTAAATGACATGCATTATACTCTGTCCCCTCATTCTCCTAAATGGTGAGAATGAACATGAGTGAATTTCCATGTTATCTTGTCCATTACTGAAAAAAAGACTAAATCTGAAAAAAAAAAAAAAAAGACAATCTGTTCCTCTTCTTTTTCCAGCCACAGAATACTGGGCTGGTGTGCTAGCATTAGCTTCTAGAATACCTCTTATTTAATGAAACCCAACAAGGAGCAGTAACAACCAGAACAGAACAAATTGCAAATGGGAAGGATGGAGGCTGTTGCACCCTTGAAAGTTCAGAGATGAGGAAGACAGTCCTTGGGCTGGAGAACAGGACCAGAGCTGAACTGTTCCATGTCTGTCCCTGAATGAGAAAGAGAAAGAAAGAGAGAGAGGAGAGAGGGCACAGGAGGAAGAGGAGAAAGGGGAGAAGGGGGGGGGGGGAGAATGAGACTAAGAATGAGAAAGAGAATATCCAAAAAGTGCTGAAAGTCTCAGCAACAAAATAGTTGCTGTAATGGGCCAGGGAGATAGCTCAGTTCGTAAGTGCTTGCCTGGCAAGCGTGAGGTCCTGAGTCGGATCCCTGGCACCACCAAAAAAAAAAAAGCTACAAAATGTGGCTAGCACCCATTCTCACCAGCAGTCTGCATACTGCTTCTGAACATGCAGAAAAGGATGTACTGCTGTGTCACCAGAAACTTTTAAGGCAACCTATGCCTGAAAATGATCTAACTTCTTTAAAACATGTTTTTCCCTGAACACAACTGGAAGAAATACTTGAACTCACACTGTGGATGAATCCCAGAGTTCTCACGGATGCTTTACTCTTAGACTAATGCTAGCACCTGGGTGTTTGGCTGCTCTCTGTGTGCTGCAACCAGAGAAGGGAATACCAAAGGCTTCTCAGCTTCTTAGCTGGCTGGGGACCAAGGGCACAGGGTTTCAGCTGCAGCACAGTAAGAGTGGAGGTTTCCTTGCAGTTCAGAGGTTTATTAGTGAGTGGGTTGGGGCCAGCTGTGCTTACAGGCTTGATCCCTGCAGCCTTGGTGTGCTGGCTGTGGGAGCAGATGAGGCTCACGGCTGGTCCCTGGCGATGTTACCCCAGGAAGATGCTAGGTCTTTTTTCTGGGTCCAAAGTGGCAGGGTCTCCCAGAAGGTGCTATCAGAGAGCCTCCACGTTTGTTTTCAGCTCCTGACCTGGGGGGATGAGGGTTTTGAGGATCTCAGTGTAGTATGGGCCAAACACTTGCTGATTGTGATGTGTCAAGTTGATGAACTTTTGGCCCAGTTCTGCCAGCTCTGGCTCGATGAGAGTGAGGCCTCCAGGAAGATCTAACAGAGAACGCTGCACACCAAGAAGCAAACAGCACTTGAGAAACAAATGGATCCGCTGATCTGTGAGTAAAAAAAAAAAGAATGAGAAGGGAAAGGGCAACCGATTTTACAAAAAAACACTGGTTCTGCCCTACCCTCTCTACTTGCCTGCCTTCTAAGTTAACTGAGATATTCACCAAGCTGACCAACTCACCTACAGATAAAGAAATGTGTCATGTTTGGGAAGGAAGGTGCTACTAGCTCTCAAGGACAAGGCAAGGATTTAAAAAACAAAAACAACCAACATGGTGGCACACACCTGTAATTCAGCACTTGGGAGGCTGAAGCAGGAGGATCACAGTGAGCTCAAGGCCAGCCTCAACTACATAGTGAGACCCTGTCTCAAAACACCACAAAAATTCTAGTGGGTTAGTAAGTTTCTGAGTACTCAGCATTAAGTAGACATCAATTAGATACCAGGGAGAATATGATGCAACAAGAGGACCTCAGACTGCGCTTAGGAGTGATCTGGCCTAGTTCACAGCATCCATTCCAGCATGAGGACGCAGGAGGTACCTAACAGGACCTGTCTTCCAGCCTAACACAGATTTCTGTTGTGGCTGGGGGTGGTTGTGAGGGGTGTGTGTGTGTGTGTGTGTGTGTGTGCGCACAGGTGTGTACATGTGTGTCAAATGTCTTGGACTGCAAAAAGTGACTTAATAGTCCAGGGTGACTTAACTGGTTTGGCTGGACAGTATTTTACACCCAGAAGTCATAAATTCCTGCCTGCAAATCTTCCTTAGAACCAGAGTCAGTCTTGGAACCGCAAGGGATACATTTTCACCCTAGCACAACAGTGACAAGCGATCTGTCTTTCCACTGATCTGTCTTCTCTTATGAAATGGTGCCATACCTGGCTTTCAGAGCTGGGGTCTCTTGCTCCTCCAACATTCTCACCACCCACAGCTACACTCACCAATGACAGTACGGACACAGTTCTCCTTCTTGGCAATGTTCTGGAGCTGTCTTATCAGAGATGCTGTGCTGTCACTACTCAGAGCAGCAAGCCCCATGTTTTTGAGGCTTTGATGGATTTCCTGAGATACCTGTTCACTCAGAGTCTGCATAGCATCCTCGGGCCTAGACAATGAACAAGAGCAAGGTGACACCCATGAGATGGCCCCAGTAGAGCCGCAGCAAACCCACAATGTTCTGTACCAGAAGTTAGGCCTCTTGAGGTTCCAACTCAGCTACCCTACCCTAAACCTGCAGCAGCAGGACCCGAGAGACAGGTACAGCGTCTCATGCTACCTACAAGATACCAACTACTGCACCTCAGATTGTAGATCCTTTGTCAGTGTCAGCCATGTGGATGAGTCACGCCCAGTGCTTGGCCAATGTGCTCTCTGTGAAAGCCCTAGAGAATGTTTTCTCTCCAGGTGACTCTCCTTAGGCACACTCTACATCATCGATCATTTTCCTCTTTGGCCCCATAATCTCCTTGATCAGAAAATTTGGGACACTACTGAGTTACATGACATTACAAGTTCTCATATGTCCTGAGTCTTAAT